TTCAGATTTATGGAGTATCTTTCAGTACAGTTCAGTTTGATGCTGCACCAGTACCCAGACACCTATCCATTGACTCACCATGATTTTCAAGATGTGTACACTCAGATGACGCTTTACTGTTAGGTAAACACATTTCTCTACCTTACGGTTTGACAACGAGGATTAGTTCTCCGTCTTTGTTCCATGTTTTAGGCTGACCTACATGTCTCATCCCACCCCTCCCCCTCTACCCTGCTCTTCTCCTGAGCACCATATGGCCAAAGATTAAAAAAAGCCCCATTTCAGTACATCCGAAATGTCACATTGTTACACAACAAAGAAGGAAACAATAATGTGGTCACTGTATTCTGGATACTTCGATAAGCTGCTCACATGGACATTGAGAACATATTTTTAAACCATTTTAAATGCACCATAAGGATTGTCTCCTTGTCTCTACAACAAACAGAAAGCATGTGTCAAGAAGTTAGTTAGTCTAAAGTTAGCTATTACTCTTTCATTCTTCTTTTTTAACAAGTCTGTAACAAGTTTGTAACTTGGGGGTTAAATTGATTCAGGGCTCTGAGGCTGGAGGGGGGCACTGGAACATGCCAGGGATTAGCGATATGTATTGTTTGAGGCTGGGGCGAGCTGCTGTCAGCAGTTTATGTGAACGATGTGCAGGGGGAGCAGATTCTGTCATGAACTATAGTGAATTCCCACCTTGCTGTGGTCATGAATTATTTTGACCACAACAGTTTTTCTGGGGTGTGCATATTGTGGTCACAAACACCCTTTGTTCCCAGACTGAGAGCACTATCACTTCTTGTAAGAACACACACAGTAAAGCTGTGTGTGTCTGGAGTGTGTGTCAGGCCAGACAGTGTTGACACTTTTATTTTTGGGGCGTGCTTGGCTGTTCTCACAACAGACGATTTTTCTGATGCAGGTTCCTGCAAACTAGCAGTTTACTACACTTCTCCGGCAGTAGCTCAGTCTGTAGGGTCTGGCTTGGGAAAACAGAGGGAGAGGGGGCCAGTTCCACCCTGTTCACTGCCGAGGTGCACTTGAGGCATAGGCACCTGACCTAAAGCGCTTAGGAGCGCCCCCTATGTGGCGCCTAACGCCTTCCGGCGCCTATGTGCCCAGCCTAAATGGTATATAGTATGGGTCAAATGCATAGGGCAAATTTCATTTCCAGGTATGTAAATGCCATATGATGCACAGCTTATCCTACCAACAAAATACCCAACCAGGCGATCTGAGTGAGGGGCTAAAAAAACAATATATAAATTATAGAATTAAGATTATTTCCAGGATATCTGGTCATTTTAATCAATTTCCATGTCTGCAAAACTAGTCTCTAAATATGCAGGTTTTCCAGGACGTGTGGGAACCCTGGTTTCCCTTATTGTCCTCAAGGCTCTCTTGTTTTGCTCCTGACTCTGATCATCAGGTGGACTCATACAGCCCAACAAGTTTAATCAAGTTTAGATTGAAACAATATCACCTTAAGCCACCCTGCCTTTATCTCAGTTTGCGTTACCTAGGGGCGAATCTGTGTGTATTTTCATTCAGGAGGGCTTTGGAATCTCCTGGGACCAGCACTTGGATATGTGAGGATGTGGGTTGTCTGGTGCCAGGAATTTTTACCTGTGCCCTGCACTGTTACACTGTTAATTATTTTTAAACTC